TGGAAATTTCACTTCCAAACGGCACAGTGGGGCTTCGCCACGCTGTCGCGGGTATGCAAAACACGTCCGGCCGGGCGGGGCTCGGTCCACGGCGACGTCCGCGGGGCGGGCCGCGGGCTGCGCCGGGCGATGCTCCGGGAAATGTGCGGGGAAGTGCGCGCGCAGCGGCGTGGGGCACCTGGCAGCGACCATGTACTTCTCGAAGTATTCTCAGTTGCGCATAGGTATCGCCCATGCAGCCTCTCTTTCAGCTCATCCTGCACGGACGCGTCCAGCGTGACGACGTAATTGGCTTTGTCCGGGCCCTTGAACAAATATTTGTAAAGGTACCCAAACAGCTCCACGGTGCCAGCAAACTTCACATTGGCGTGCCCGTCCCAGAGTTTGAGGATCTCCGCGTTGTATTCCACGATGAGACGGTTGCAGCAAACCTGGCGTCGACCGCACAGGGCAGCGCCTCCCTGGCAGTTGGGGCACTGGCCGCCGCAATGGCGGCGCCGATGGATAGGGTGCCCTCGCAGGTCCATGTGGGTGGCGTCGGAGAAAGGCCAAGGGCAGCCCTTGATGCAGTCCTGCGCGGGGTCCTGGGGGCGACACGAGTGATTGCAGGTATGGACCATGTGCTTCAGGACTAAAGCGCGCAAGTGCGCGTCTTCCTGTGACAGCTCGCATGAAATGTATTTGTCGACGTCTTCGGCGCTCCAGCCAGCATGCTCGACGGAAAGAACGATGTGGGCGCGCGGCAGTCCGCGCCGCTGATATTCGATGACTTTCACCATGTACTTCCGACGCGCGCAGAAGTGCTCCTTGAGGTATGCGATCATCTTCGCCAAGCGGCCGTGGAACACGCGCACCGTGATATCAGGCCTGTCTGCGGGCGTTTGGCAGGGGAACAACTGCGACTGCATCTCCTCCCAGTAGGGGTTGCACGTCAGCGCAATGAAGAAAGAGGGCGGGCCCAGGCGGCGGGCGAGCTCTAACGCGTCAGTCCGAAGTTTCCGTAGGTGTCGCGGCGAGCCGGGCACGCTGGCCGGCAAGTAATATTTCTTGCCGACGGTCGCGCCTCCAGCAGTCTCATTCGCCACGACTTCGCAGAGCTCTTTTCTCGAAGCAATTCGTTTGTTCTGGATGTCGCGCAAGTGAGAAAACCGTTCGTCCTCCATTCTGCAGAACATGTTGATCAACCATTCATTGAGGAGGCGCCCGCACATGTGCATGTGGTCGAAGCGGAGAAGTTGCTGGCGATACCACCACATCTGCGTCACTTTCGCCCCGGCGTCGGTGACGACGCCCGTGCTCCAGCCCCGACCTCCGGCCGGGTACCACAGGGGGTAGCTGAGGGGCTCGTATAGTGGACTGAGTGGATGTAAATACTCTGGGTGGTCTGACCGCGTTTTATAAAAGGTGACGGAGCGGTACCCGCGGTTCGGGGACGGATCGAAATCGACGATGCCAGCAACTTCGTTGACACCTTCGTGCCATTCGAGCACCACGGCGCCTTCAGTCGTCGGAGACTTCATCTTGGCCAATCTCTGGATGGTGCGCATATGCTGGTTGTGGGGCAATATGATGGCTTCCAGTTTCGACAGGAGCGTCTTAGGCAAACCCTGGCGCATGGCCGCCGCCGCTCTTTCGGAAGGGTCCACTATGAGGTACCGCAGGGGCACGGAGTCTGTCGCGGAAAACACCTTTCGGTACATCGTCCCGTGGATTCTGATGTTTGATGTTCGTCATAGTCATCGCGCAGCTACTGCTGCACTTGCTCATCGCAGTCGTAATTTCTTCATCCAGGTCGTTATGCGCCAGCCACTCCTGCATCACCGCGGCGAGCGAACCGTTGTCTACGAAGGTACCATCGTGTAGAGGCCCCCGCTTGCGTTGTGTAATCCTATTGCCAACAATGGTTGTCTGTAGAATCCTATTGCAAACAATGGTTGCTGCAGTATGCACGGGTACTGCGGTGTGCATGGGCGACGTGGTGTTACAGCGCGCGCGGCTGTTGTGGTGTACGGAGGCACTGTGATGTGTACACGGGTGGCGCTGTGCTGCACGCAGGCATTGAGCATTGTCGCGTACATCGGCGATTGGTGCGCCGGTGGCGCAGACGCACACTGGCGGGCGCACGCCGCAGCCGCCGTTACCGTTACCCTCCCGCCCGACCCCCCTTCCCCCTTCCCCCTGGGTAATTGCCGTTCGTTGCCCGGGATGAAAAAAAAACGGTCGCAAAGGTGCTCGGGTCCGTGTTTATCCTCCTCCTCGTCCTCCTCCTCTTCCTCGTCGTCCTCCTCCTCCTCCTCTTCCTCCTCCTCTTTCTCCTGGTGGAAAGCGATTCCCCTCCCGCCGAAGGGCGTCGTGCTGGCGCGAGACCCCGACTCCGTGTACCACACGCTGACGCCGCGGTCGGCACGTCGCCCCTCTGGGGGCCAGGTTGGCCCCGAGCACCCCGGGCAGACCTCCTCCTCCCTCCTCCCTCCTCCTCCTCCTCCTCCTCCTCCTCCTCCTCCCTCCTCCTCCTCCTCCTCCTCCTCCTCCTGCCTCCCTCCTCCTCCTCTCCTCCTCCCTCCTCCTCCTCCTCCTCCCCTCCTCCTCCTCCTCCTCCTCCTCCTCCTCTCCTCCTCCTCCTCCTCCCCCTCCTCCTCCTCCTCCTCCTCCTCCTCCTCCCGATCCCGCGTCGTCGTCCGACGGCCCCGGGCGGCCCGGGGGGGCGGCTCCCGAGGGGGCTTCCTCAACGTACGGTGGAGGCGTTCGTCAAGGAGTGCTGGAGGCCTGGACATGGGCACCAACACCAATGCACGGTTGCCTCCACAGAGGGAAGATGAACCCAGATTTCGGCGTTGGTGGTAATAGTCCGGCCACCTTGGAAGCCAGAGTATTGCCACCATCACTCAGATCGGGATCTTCTTCCTTCGGTGGAGGCACAACGCCGACAGTGGTGCTGGTGTCAACCTCTAGGCCTGCGAGAATGTGCCCAGGAGGCTTCAGACCGTGGAGGATTCCTTATCTGACGAGGGCGGCGGTGATATCCACAGCGGAGCCACGATTCCTGCTCCAATGGTTCCTGATCTCACGCTTCCTTATTCAATGGTTCCTTATCTGATGCCCTGACCGTACCCCGAGTTTCTTAACAAGCGTCGGGGGGGCGTCAACCCCGCCGACAGCCCCACATCGACCCCCGTCGCGGGCAGCCACCGCGCGCCGACGGCGCTCCGACCACTGCTGCGGCGCGACGACGAGGCGAGGTTGAACCCCGTCGCGGGGGGGTTACCCCCCCACGCTTCTCAAGAAACCAAGAGCAGGCTCAGGGGGGGAGGGGGGGGGGCACCGACCCCGAATCGCCGGTCGGACGCTTGTTGGCTGGTCCTCGAGAGTCTTCGTCGGTGCTCGTCGGCTTCCCAGCCGCGGGGAGGAGGAGGAGGAGGAGGAGAAGGAGGAGGGAGGAGGAGGAGGAGGAGGAGGAGGAGGAGGAGGAGGAGCGAGAAGGAGGAGGAGCGAGAAGGAGAAGGATAAGAAAGAGGGAGGAGGAGGAGGAGGAGGAGGAGGAGGAGGACTGCTGCGCCTCGCCGAGGGCGGGCGTTCCGGGGAGGCCCGCCTCGC